TGCAGATAGCTCAAAGCTGCACCTTTTGGCAGCAACTGCTAGCTTTGTAGCAGAAAACACTAAATTAACCTTTGTGCGCACAGGTTTTAGCGTTTTAAGATTGCACAGAATGCCGTGACTAACGTCTAAAATACTTTTCCTTTCAGTATTTTAGCAAAAGCTGGTGCGTTGCCGTAGCAACGTCTTACAACACTTGCGGTGTTAAATGTGCTAGTTATTCCTTCAGAATATTAGCAAACAGGGTGTTATCAGTCTTTGAGGGAAGGTTTTAGTTAGTTATAATAGCCATTGTGAGTTAAAGTCGCTAAATTAGCAGTTAATTTTAGCCTAAAAGGGTTAGTCAGAATCACTTACATACTGCACCTTTAATGAGGAACTGAATTTTAACCTAAAAGGTTAGCCAGAATTAATTTACACGTTGCACCTTTAAAGAAGCACTGGGTTACTGGTGAGAGTTCGATGCAGCTTGCTGCTCAGCAAAATCAGCACCACTCTGTTGCTGGTTCAAGGCTGAACAACTGATTATTTTTTAATTCAAGCTAAAGATTTATTTGTTTGTTTGTGCCGGATAGAAATCTCTGTGTATCCCGCCTCACACGGGCTGCACCAATTAATGTTGGGGTTATTAGGAGCGAATAATTAGTAAGTTTTAACTTACTTTTGGATTCTTCAATAAATTCTGTAAATATGGGAATATTTACTGATTTATTAATTAATTAAGATATTCTTAGATATCTCCGGGGCACCATCCCTTTAATTAGAAAGGGAAATGAATCCAAAACCTTATCAGTCTTTCTTGAAGTTCGTATAATCCTTGGAGCAGAGACTTCGCTTCGACACAACAAATCTACTGGAGGCAAAAATCTGAATTTTATAACATTTAATTAACAATTTGTCAAATGAATAAACAGTGGAATAAATGAATAATAACCATGTGATATAATTGAAGATGGGTGTTTGCGTGTGATGGAGGATGTATGAATGGGGTCCTTTGTTCTCACAAAGGAGTGGTGTGTGTGTGCGTGTGTATGGATTCAAAATGGAGTCTTGAATACAAGATGGCTGACCCCTTTGTCTGGCTAAAGTGTGGGTGGCAACTTGCACTTTAACTTCCAAAGCACTTAGAATCAGAAGTAACTTAACCTTAAAATCACTCAAAACACTTCAAAATGGTCATGAAACAACACAAAAGGTTAATCCTGAATTAATATCTTTTTAGTTTAACCACTTGGCCATAGCAGAAACCATTTTAAGATACCATACAATGATCAATAAGCAGTTTATTCTTTCAAAATGACCCGACGGACGTATTTGGGAACGAAAGAGGAAAACACGGAGCTACTTCTAAGCAATAGCGCGGTTTTATTGCTTATTCTGGACTATAGAGGAAACGGGAGAAGGAAAGAAGGAGAGAGAGAAATAGATGAGTTTCTGATCACCAGAACAGCAAGGCATCCCCCGCTGTTTCATTTGACGGTTCTCCGTGGTTTCTCCGCACTTCGGCGTCGTCCGTCGGTTTGATGCTTTCCCCGCTGTTTTCCGCGTTCTCCGTGAGTTTGATGGAGTTGTTGATTTCCCAGCCCGGTTCTGTGTTCTCCCTTCAGCAGCTAGCGCAGCGAGCGGTTGGACAGACCTGATGGGCTTGTAGCTTAGCTTTCCAGCGGTTCCGGGAGCTCTACTGGAGCACTTAGACTTCCCGCGTGCTCAAGTTAGTCGGAGCGTACGACGAGCGTGTCCTTTACCGCCAGTTATCCTGGGCAAAAGAACAGAGTTCTTTGTCTTTGTTAATGATTTATAGCCTGAGTTCGCGGGAAAGCTCCATGGGCTCCCGCACATGCGCAGAACGTGTTTCTGGTATTAGGCGGTGACATCATCACAATGCTTCCGTGTGCAAAGCATCATGGGAAATGAAGTTTCTTGGCGCTGATGTGATTATTTGCTTTTCAGAGCAATTTAGCACAGTCTTTTTGGAGAAAATTACTGCAGCAATTTCTCACGAGGGCATACCCTCAACAGTATGAATCACACAAAGGCTTCTGGGGGAGCCCAGTGATGGGGGTGGGGGGTGTTCTGTATTGCCTTGGCCCCCAAAATGCCTTGAAATGGTCTTGGGTGTGTGACTGAGTTTAGATGAGTGATCTGACACGTATCAAATGTATAAATATTACATGTATATAACTTATGCACCACTTTGAGAATGTAACCAGCTCAGTGGCCTAGTGGTAGAGTGTCCGCCCTGAGACAGGGAGATCAGGGTTCGATTCCTGGTCAGGTCATACCAAAGACCTTGAAAAAATGGGACCCAATGCCTCCCTGCTTGACACTCAGCATTAAGGGGGTTGGATTGGGGGGTTAAACCACCAAATGGTTCCCGAGCGCGGCTCTGTCTGCAGCTCCCCGCTCCCCCAGGAGATGGGTCAAATATGGAGAACAAATTTCGCACACACATCAGTGTGTGTGACAACTAATGGGACTTTAACTTTAACATGCACCGGACACAGCGAGCGCAACAACAATCAGCGCTCTGCGTCCTCTCCACTCAAAAGAAGCCCTGCTACGCTAAGAGTCCGTTATTTTGTAATATAGGTTGAAACTGGACCTCTATCTGAAAGATTTCTAGTACCCCATAATTTGATCCTAGCTCCTGGATGAAAAACCGGAAATGTTGATCAATGTAGGAACCCCTCCAGACACCCCGGACAGAGAGTGAAAAGAGGTCCGGTGGAAAGAGGATGTATTGTCACCCTAATTTAATGGCCATTGGTCGATTTATGTAGTTATTGAACTCAGTTCGGATGAAAACACACACACACACACACACACACACACACACACACACACACAGCAGGCTGTACTCACTGAGGTTATGAGTTTCTGCAGCAGGGACATTTTTGGGTGCAGAGATTGCGCATGGAACCGAACTGAAGCGGAACCCCTCAGAATCTCACTGAAGCACAGCAAGTGTTTTAAAAAGGAAATCCAAGGAAGTTCTAAATTGCACACGGCCACTTCTGCCTTTGATTTTCTTGTGTGGTACTTATAGCATTGGCGCTAAAGTAAAAACTTGTTAGCTAAAATATTAGCTTAACTATTGAGTTGCCGGATCCAAGCAGAAAGTTACTGGAGCGCATCCTTTCAAAATAAGACAGGCTCAAATGAAGCTCTGACGCAAACGACAGTTAGCCTCCTTTTAATGTGGTGAAACGACCAGCTGCACCTTAAGAGGGGTGCACGGTTCAGGGGCCACAAATAGGCGGCCCGCGGGCCAGGTCCTATTGTGTGCCGCTGCCCTACAGATCCTTACTATATTCGGAGTTATAGTCATGTTTTCTGATGTTCCATAATAATTCCCAATAATTATATAATGAACTGAAATAATTTTCTGAACAATTCTGTTGGTCTACTTTTTGAGCAGAGGGGGTGTGTAAACATAATGGTAAAGAATGTTTTGGACAAAATCACATTGATGTTTCTTTTTTCTAATTATTTCAACAGATTGTATTCACAATAAAAATACATATGTAAAGGTCAGAGGTCACAAAAACTCACTGTTAAAAAGATACAGATCTGAAGCCCACGAGGACAAAGAGAACATATTTTTGAGAAGCACCTCTGGATAAAAATCACAAGTTTCCTCACAAGCACATTAAAAATGTCAAAAAGGTGAAAAAAGATAATACTGGGAGAAAATTGTAGTTTTTACTGTTTTATGGTATGATTTATGACTATATTGTAAATGTCTTAAAACTTGATTTGAAGAAAATTGTGAATCGGACTGAAATCTTAATTTCTCCTAGAAAAATCGCAATTGAATCTTTTCCTAAAATCGTCCAGTCATAGTCTCCAGATTGCTACACAGAGCATCCTGCTTGTGATTCACCTGCAGCAACGTCAGTCTGAGTGCTCAGCACACAGCAGTAACCTTCCCTCGGGGATTTTTCCAACAGCCCCGACAGCTCCATACATTTCTGATTTATGGTGGAGATGGAGACGAAGCAGATTAATGTAAACTACCATAAGTCTGCTTGTCAGTTCTTCTAAGTATCTGGGTATCTGGCTTGACGGCACACTTTCATTTGACATTCACATGAATCCATTACTTTCTAAAGTCAAGTCAAGAATGGGGTTTCTATAGCAACAGGTCATCCTTTACTCATTCTGCAAAGCAATCCTTGGTCAAAATTGCAATCCTTTCCATCTTAGATTACGGTGACATATTTTATAGGACTGCTTCCAAAAAACTTCTTCATTAACTCGATGTCATTTATCACTCAGCAATCGTTTCATCACTGGTGCCCTTTTCACTACTCATCATTGTGATCTGTACTCACTCGTTAACTGGCCATCGCTCCATTCCTGCAGGTTGTTACCTCTGTATCAGTTCATATACACAACAATCATCAGTAGAACACCATCATATGTTCACTCATTCACTTCCAACAACCAGCACCATTTATGTTCCAGTAACTTAATCTCTACGGTTATTCCCAAAGCTCGCACCTCCTTTGGCCGCTCCTCATTCCAGTTTGCTGCTTCCAATGACTGGAAAGAGCTGCAAAATCACTGAAGCTCACTACCTACATCCCATTATCTACCTTCAATAATTCATGGTGATCAATAGTTTCTGATGAATGTGCTTCTGAGTACTTAAAGACTGCTCTAAGTCTATTTTGATTGCTTGTACATACTGTAAATGAGAACAGTCCGTTGTCTTGATGTCGAACTGTTTTATCTTATTATTGTCGTGTATTTTTATCTTACCTGTTGTTCTTTGATGTAAAGCTAACTGTGTGTGTGTGTGTGTGTGTGTGTGTGTGTGTGTGTGTGTGTTGCTGCCTCTTGGCCAGGTCGTCGTTGAATGAGTTCTCAATCGACTCACCTGGATAAATAAGGATTAAATAAAAAAATAATTATTTATTATTACACAGATATGCTGGTTACCAGATTATTTGTCAGGATCATTTTGACTTTAAGCAACTCTGTTGCCACTTTGTCTGCAGGAGCTGGCTGATCTTCGCCATGTTCACGTGAAGCTAAAGAAGCAGTTTCATGAGAAGACTACAGAGCTGGTCCATGCAAATCGGAGGGTGGAGAGCCATGAAGCTGAAGTCAAAAAGCTTCGTCTCAGAGTGGAAGAACTGAAAAAGGAGTTGGGGCAGGCTGAAGATGAGGTAGGAAGATGCTTGTTTGCTGCAGATGAATGCTGTGATGTAACACATAAGCATACTGCTGCATGTTTGGATGCAAAAATCTGTATGATGGTGGCTTAGGCGTTAGGAGTTCACTATAAAACTCTTGCACCAGGATGACTCTCTGACTTTTCTCCTCACAACAACAATGAAAGTGAAGGTTTAATCCTATCCAGGCATCATTCTTTTGCACAATCATAGCACTAATTTTAGTGAAGTCTAGCTGCCCAAGGCCAGATCGGAGCCGTGGCTGAACGACTATACACGTTTATTAAGGCGGAAATGTCGACTAGCAGAAAGGATGTGGAAGAAGGATAGGTAACTGAGCTCTCTTCAAGTGTTAAGAGACTGTCTTTGTGACCTTCAGGAGGCTGTGAGAGATGCTAGGAGGGTGTGCTCTCGCCGTCACAGACCACGGATGCTTTTTATTGTAATAATAATATCCTCAACATTCACCAACCAGTGGGTATTGAGCCCTCTGTGATGTCTTGAGAAGCATTTTTGAGTTTTTTTGTGGACAAAATAGTAAACATCAGAGCTCAGGCCAGTCCCCTGTCGGACTCTTTCTGTTCAGCTACTTTTAGTCAGTTTGAGCCGTTTACGTCGGACTGCCTTTGGGATTTTGTTAACTCTTTAAAACCTGCTTGGATTTGATGCCCCCTAAGCTTTTAAGAGAAGTTTATTCATCAGTTGGTCCTTGGGTTCTTGCCTATTAATCAGAGCATTGTCTCTGGAATAGTACCAGGGAACTGGAAACATGCGGTTGTTCAGCCTTTACTGAAGAAGCTTGGACTCGACTTATCTGCCTTGTCCACTTATCGACCCATCTCCAGACTCCCTTGGGAAAAGTTATTTTCTGCATTTGACCCATCCTTACTTTGGTAAGAAGCAGAGGGGAATTTTTATGGTGGCCGGGTGGCAACTTGGGGTAGGGCTGGGCGATATGGCAAAAATAGAATATCATGATTTTTCCAATATTTTATCACAATTTCGATTTTATCACGATTTTTATCCATGAATAGCATAACTTCAATTGCATATTAAAGAAGAGAAACATTGAATAAACAAACATTTATTCATATTAGGGATAATCAGCACAGTGCTAACACACTTATATTTTAAACTCACACCAGAGATGATAAAAGCCCTGAGAGAAACAATTACAAAAATCAGTTTTTCTCGTTTTTCAAGTTACTTAACATAAATTAAAATCGTAAACATATTTAAAGTGCAAACATGTCAATTGCAAACATATTGTGCAAACGTTAACTTGTTCAAAATACTATGTAGCTCCCAGTTGCTCATGTAGTGGATAGTTAAGCTCAAATATGGCTCTGATGTGCGGCTGGACCAGAGATCGCTTGTGGTAGCAAATAACTGCGCATTCTGAATATTTTCTGCAACTCTCACTTTGCATTCAGCGTACATGCGTGGAATGGCGGTGTTCGAACAATACTTGCGGCTGGAAAACTCGTAGCGCGGATCCAATGTTTTTATCATGTTCTAAAATCCCGCTCCTACTGTTCGCACGGGACACAAATCTTTAACCAAGTGGTACGTCACTGCATCTGTCACGCTGTTCCATCGTCTGCTGTCTCTGTCGTAGGGAGTGAGTTTTGTGAGTGTTTCTGTTAGCGTTTGCTGCCTGGAAGAAGCGCTAGCCGCTGCCGCTGCAGCCGCAGGCTTTTTAGCTTTAGCTGCCAGCTGGCTCTCATTGTATTGTTTGGGATGCCTTCTTTTCAAGTGATTAAACAAGTTTGTGGTGTTGCCATCACTTGCCTTGACGCTCTCCTTGCAAACTTTGCAAATGACGTTTCGCTGCTCTTTGTCATCTGGTGAAAAACCGAACCCGTTCCAGAGGCGTTCCTCTTCGGAACGAAAACCTCGTTGTCGCTCTCAGCCGCGGCCGAAGCCATGTTTGCTCACACACAGGTGAAAACAAGCGGGGCACTAATATATTACTATGACTCACTCTGATTGGTTAAGGGTCAAACAAAGGCGTGTCATTCGCCTGGGGTAAGTTCCCTTTTCATTCAGAGGTAGAAATTCAACAGCAGAGCTGTGAATCGTGATAAAAAGGTCTCTCAAAAATGACAGACCGTCAGATGTGTAGATCGTAAAACGGTCTAAAATCGTCATATCGCCCTGCCCTAACTTGGGGTTCAGCATCTTGCCTAAGAAAGTTTTGTGACTGTAGAAGGTTTATTGCACTTGGACTGACTTTAACAATCCCATCAAACGTCATCTATTAACATTTCATGTTTGGTCTTTGTCACCAGTTGGACGAGTCTCATAACCAGACGAGAAAGCTGCAGAGGTCTCTAGATGAGCAGGTGGAGCAGAGTGAGAACCTGCAAGTACAACTGGAACACCTGCAGTCCAGGTGAGGCACACGTGCATACTCAGCCTCTCTCTCTCCCTCCTGTGTATCAGAGCCTGAGACACTTGGAGGACGGCCTTAGTTTTACTTTAGTTATAAATACTCATAATACTTGATAGCAACCCTGCAAACTATCAACTACCAGAACTGAAGCGCTGGCTCGAACGTCAAGGTCAAAGTAAAACCTAACTCTTGTTAGGAACACTGTTGTTTTAAACACCGTTATTCCCATCGCTGCTCCTACTTGAGTAACATTAAGTTCATTACCCAGAGTGCTCAAGTAGCATTTTCTCAAGGTGCTTTAACTGTTGGTTATCATTTGTGTACCTACTTTTTACGCACTACCCACCTCTAGTCAAAAGCCTTTTTCGTGCACGTTTGGGTGGACATGCTGTTTGTCTGAGACATTCAGCTGGACTCCTCCGTTAAGACCACTGCCCCTCCTGGATGACTCCCCTCTGCTTACACCGCTGCTTTGGATAACTCCACATCTGAGAACGTCACATAAAAACTACCACCGCTTTGCTTTTTCTGTCTTTAGCTTAACCTGTCTCCCTTTCCAGCTGTTTCATGTGGTCTCTGACATTACCCGGCTTTGGAAAAGGGATAAAAAGTTCCCTCCGACATCCAATCTGGGTATCTAGAGACTGATTAGCACCTCCCCCAGCAGCAGAGCTGTTATTTCACACTTTTACCACAACAACATTTTCTTGTGATGGATTTCCTGTTTCTTTTGTGCACAGCAATCTTTACCATAGACCTATGCTATAACTGGCACGTGTGTGTGTGTGTGTGCTGGATCCAATACAAAGAATAGGAGAGCCTTTAGGCACAGAGGTATTGCGAACAAAACCAGTTGAGTCTCAGCTCAGATCAGGATGTTCACCCGAGCCAGAAACTCTCCACAGTTCACCTGTCTTTATTTTTTCTTTAGCTCACTGTTCTTTGTTTTAAGAGCAGCTGAGTATGTCTCGTGGAGATTGTTTTTTCATGAGGAACAGAAAAATGTGGCATCAGAGGATTACAAACACTCTCCATCAGGTAGAAAAGTGGATTTTTTTACTATAACAGGAATTATTACACCCATAAAACGGCAAAGGAAAGACTGAATTGATGCTTTTGATTTCATGAAGCTATCTTTGTTTTGCTGCTGAGTTAACATCAATGGGTGATATTAAGCATGTTTTTGGAACAACTTTGCTGCTACTGGTCTAATTTAAGTTGTGTGATGCATAAGAATGGTAATGTGGCATCCCCTGGTGGTTTAGAGATGGGTACCTTTGACATTTGAATCGATTCGGTACTAATTCCCGGTACCTACGAATCGATACCGGTACTTAACGGTACCAATTTTCGATACTTTTGAGTGTTTAATATTTTAATTCTCTTTTATAATTAAATATATATTTTTCTCAATATATAACCATATTTGATAAATATCACGATAAATAACATACAACTGCTTGTATTTTAACATCTTCCTTGTAGTTTTATAAGTTGATGATTAAACTGAAGCAAACATCTTTACTGTGAACTAAATTTACTGTGTATCTTCATTCCTTTTACCGTCCTTTTTCATTTGATTTTTCCTACTGGAAAGTTAGAATTTCCGAGGAGAAAGCGAACGCACCATTAGATGATAACAATGGTGGCATAGGAAGCTAACATATAAAGCTACGTTATCTTAAACAGTGTATTTAACTGCTGGAGCAGATTAAAATGATGATGCCTCACACTTAAAACATTGTCACTGGTTTCATCTTCACCCAATCACCCGTCGCATTTAGTAAAGTGAAGCCAAACTTTAGAGCGCATTCATGTTCTTCTAGTTGGAATTTCGGAGTTCCGAGGAGAAAGCGAACGCACCATTAGTGAAACGGAAGCTAACAAATCAAGCTAACGTTATCTTAAACATTTTATTTACCTACCGGAGCAGATTAAGATGAGGATGTCTCACTTAGATCGTTGTCGCGTTTCATCATCACCCAGTTACCCATCACATTCAGTGAAGTGGACCCAAGCTTTAGCATGCATTCTTTCTTCCCATGCTGCTCTGTTTACAACTCGCTCGCAGCGACTGACGACAAAACGCTCTTGCGCATGCGCAGCTGTCTAGGCAAGTTCTCGTTGTGAAGGACGGGTACCGAAACGAGGCACCGTTTCAAATGAAGTGAATCGGTGCTCGGTCGGTACTGTGGAATTCGGTCGGTACCTTAAAAAGTACCGAATTCGGTACCCATCCCTAGTGGTGATATGTGGTTAGTGCATCAGAAAACATCTCTGTCGCCACAACCGCAGATGTAAATTATTAGAAATATGAGTGATTAATACATTCATAAAGTGAACACATTTCTAATCCGTGTTTCTCTTTAAAAATGTTTGTTTTTGACTTGAAATATAATGAAATAATGATTAAATATTTATGTTTTTGACACATTTTATTTAAACACGTTTGAGACTATTGTTTTAGTGAGGGTTTTTAGATGGTTTGTATCTGCTCGCTCAAACTATTTAGCTGTTGGTTTAAAAAACCAGGAATGTGACTACAAACATTTTAAAGATTTATTATTAATTTGTCTAATGAATCATTTCTTTTATTTTTCTGCCAATAAACCATCGTTTTGTAAGGAAGCAAATGGATAAGAAGCATGTTAATTGTCCAAAGATGAGAACTTCAGTCTTGTCTTGATTTAAAAGCAAAAAGTTTAGAGTCATCCAATTTTTTATGTCCTCAAGACAAGCCTGTAATCTAACTAACCGATTAGGTTCATCAAGGTTAATGGATAGATATAACTGAGTATCGTCAGCATAACAGTGGAAGTTTATCCCATGCTGTCTAATGATTTTACCAATTGGGAGCATATATATAGTAAAAAGAATTGGTCCAAGCACTGAACCCTGTGGTACTCCACAAGTAACCCTGGAGTATGAAGAAGATTTGTCATGTACATTTACAAAATGAAATCTGTCAGACAGGTAGGATTTAAACCAGCCTAGCGCTGTTCCTTTGATCCCTACAACATTTTCAAGTCTTTCTAAAAGAACATTGTGATCTACTGTGTCAAAAGCAGCACTGAGATCTAACAAGACTAGAACAGACACAAGAGTCTTATCTGAGGCCATGAGAATATTATTTGTAATTCTCACTAACGCAGTTTCAGTGCTTTGATACTCTCTAAAACCAGACTGAAATTCCTCAAACAGAGCATTAGAGTTTAAATGCTCACATACTTGGATGGTCACTATTTTCTCCAGGACTTAGGATAGAAATGGAAGGTTAGATATTGGTCTATAATTCATTGGGTCATCTGGATCCAGAGAAGGCTTCTTAAGTAAAGGTTTGATTACAGCAACCTTAAAATCCTGTGGTACGTATCCATTTACTAAGGATAGATTGATTATATCTAGAATAGGGGCAGTAACCAAAGGAAATGCATCTTTAAATAATTTGGTTGGGATTGGATCTAAAATGCAAGTTGAAGATTTAGATGAAGCTAATATTTTTGATAACTGAAAGCTCAACTGGATCAAAATGGTTCAAACACAGATGAGGTTCTACAGTCACCTCTGATGCTGCCTCACTTACTGAGGAAGAAGAAATTGCATTAGGGAGGATGCTAATAATTTTGTTTCTAGTAGAATTAATTTTACTTGTGAAAAATCCCATAAAGTCGTTGCTGCTGAGGGCTAAGGTAATAGATGGTTCAGAGCTATGATTCTGTGTATGTTTGGCAACTGTACTGAAAAGAAATTTAGGATTATTCTTATTCTCCTCAATTAGCGATGGAAAATAAGCAGTTCTAGCTTTTCAAGGCTTATTTTTCCATGATAAGTAGGACTCCTCTTGGTGTGTAGTGTAGAGTGCCATGTTCGCCCAAATTTTCTAGAGTTTTGTTTTAAAGTTCATAAATCAGAATTAAACCAGGGAGCCAACTTCCTGTTCCTAATTACCTTCTTTTTAAAAGGGGCAACATCATCTAATGCCACACGTAAAGAGGAAGTATGTTACGTCCCTTCCTGAACGTCTAGGAGGATGAGAGGACTAACACAGAAAAATAGGTGGAGGTGTGTGTGTGAGAGGATAAATAACGAGGTGGTGAGAATAAAAACAAAAGGGTTTATTAACAAAGGGTGTCAGTTTCTAACATCAAAATAAGGCTTACAACAACGGTGATGAAAAGGTGGAAACTAAAAACGTAAGCGCATATCTGCTTACGAAAAACGGCTTTTTGCCGAACTAAAATAACAACCACCTAACAGAAAAATCCCCGGCTCGAAGTCCAATGGGGATAAAAACACCAAAATGAGAAAACTGACACTGTCAGATAATCCTGCAAACGAGGAACTAAGCCTATTTCCTACCGTAAACCCTAAGCAAGCGTACACCACAGTTTAACCATAGCAAGAATCGCTACCAAGCTCAGGAGAATCACAGACTAGCTCTGGATCTCCTCTACTGTCTGCTGCGCTCCTCTTTTGAAACCCTGTGGGCTGCTTGATGGCAGATTGGGATCAGCTGCTGCCTTCTTTGGCGTGCCTTTCTCCAAGGTCCTGAAATGGCGCTGGGAGAGTAAGCTGCTCCAGAACTGTCCCAAGTGCTGAAAGCTCGGCGGTGGGGACAGCAGGCTCAGATAAAGGTGACGAGTAGGACCGAGGGGATGAGGGTCGTCACAGTCTCCCCCTAGAAAGCTAAGAAAGAAAGGCATTAGCAAATGATTTTCTTTCTTAAGAAAAAAAGACCTGCGAAGCAGAACTCAGGGAGAAAATGCCCAACAAAGCCAGTCTTGAGTTTTTTACTTTAAAATTGGATGAGTCCCCACTGACTGCCTAACACAACTTCTCTAACTGCAGCCTACTCTTCATGTGTCATACAGGTGGGCAGATTAAGCACGTTTCTAAAAACATACAAACCAGTAAAGAAGAGGAGATTTCCCCACTTCCTCCTGGGGTGCTCCCGAGATGGTGTCCAAAAGGACGCCAACACTAACCCGCTTGACACAACACTAATAAAAATGACAAACAGGACATACCCCAAAGGGGGTATACCTCTATAACCTATCAGGGAACTCACCTCCCAGCTGACATTATCTCATTATCTATTAATAAAACGTTGCAGCAGAAAAAGTGGATTTTTATTGAATATGTAAAATATTTACAGTTTTAGAGCCGTTTTGTTGGCAGAATTAATCTTAGCTATGGGTCCCAAGGTGGTTTGTGTGGTGTTGCCATAGGGTGATGTCATCGGTAGGCACAGATCTGCGTCCAAATGGAAAATTGGTCACCCTACATTAAATGATATAACTCCTCAAATAAAGGCTGTTTTAACCACCAGCATCTCGAGTGGCTTCCTAAACGTGCGTGCCATCACTGGTGTGCTCTTTGCAGGTTTCAGCCCCGCCTCTGTTAGCACCGCGCTAATGAAAAGGGACTTGGGCAACCGATCACACCTTTTTACAATGCCACGCCCCTTCGTATAATCCCTGCATGTGCACGGGCATGCACACTAGTGAAGGTCAACAATGCTACCCAAACTTTTGCATACCACTGTATTTAATGCTGACAAGCACCTATGACTGTCTGACTAAGATATAAGTATAGATTAAACACCATGTGGTTGGTTACTGTGGTAACAGAGTAGAAGTGACAGGCATGTCAGCACAAACTAGTGTGTACTGTTAGGTTGTAGCTCAACATGCTGTGGTAGGCAGACCCGTACCTGGTTAGGGTCATCTTCAGCCTCACAGCTCTGTCCCTCTGCTCATGTCTCTTCCTCTGTCTCTGCCTCAGACTGCGGCGGCAGCAGCAAGGTCCTGGACTGTTTGCGAAGATGCGGTCTGCTCGCTTCAGTCCAGAAACCACAGATGGACCCAGCAGCGACGTTGATGAGGAGGAGGAGAACCTACAGCTCCAGATCCCATGACGCAAGCCGAGACCCTGGACACCCAGCTGTTGTAGAAAAACATTGTCTCTGAGTAGAAACTTCTGAGGCTCTTTTAGCTCTTCAACATTCCTTATCACTTAATTATCTGGAAAACATGCAGGATGCCTCATCAGGATGCTAAAAGTGATTTCATCAGTCAGTCACCTTATTACAAACAAGGTCAGGATGTCCCGTTTCCTGAGACATCCCATAATGTAGAGGTAAAAAGTTGAATTCAGCATACATGTATTTAGATCAGACACTTCTCCAAGACTCACCCAGAGGACCGAGCGTGACCCAAGTTCCTGGGGGGTGGTTGTTCAGCTGGATGCTACAAGAAGAGCTTCACCTGTCTGTGTGAAACACCAACAGCTCATCAAAACCTTTCGTTTCATTTTCTTACAAACATCAAACTTTTAGATCGTTTCTACGTCCTCACCTGCACCTCAACTATTGACATGATTCAGCATCACTCCTGCTTGGCTCTCCTCTTCAAGTGTCTTTGACCAAGGACAAAACTACCGACATGGGCGGAACCTGGGTTTGGACCAGCAACCCATTTGCTACAGGGCAAGCCCCAGGTTCAAACAGACTAATGAAATGTTTCCTTACAGCACTGGCGGCACCAGGTGGAAGTTAGGTAGCAACGGTAAGACTCGGCCCAGCACCCCCCACTGCTCACTAAGCAATGGAAGGGAAAAGGTCCTTGAGCTGCCCCGCCCTTACAGACTGGCTACAGAGATCCAGAGTCACTGCCGTTAGCAGCTTAGGTTCATGTCAACAAACAAGCCCCTACAGGTTACCAGGCATTAGCTAGCCTTAGCTAGCGCTTGACCCAGGTTAAAACACAACCGTCCCTCAGCGAGGTGTGTGTGTTAACGTGTGCATATCAAGCTTTGCTGGTCTGAATCCTTATATAGTTGCGTTCTGAACGTTTACCGTGTCTAACCCTAACCTTACTGCCACTGGGAGAGATGATAAAACATCGTCTTCGTGAGGAAGCTGAACTGGTTCTGTGCAGGCAGCAGAAGCTGCTCCTCCTCGATGCTCAGAGACACTGGTGGAGGTGGGTGCTGCTTGCAGAGGGAGGAACAGATGTGGTTTCACCAGAACTCCGTGGGTCAGACAGACAATGGCAGAGCTCAGGAAGAACGCACAACCATGATGTTTTCGTTTATTTCCTGATCTTATCCTTTCTTCAGGGACACAGAGAAAAAGTCATTTTCTAAGTGACCTGTCAGCAGGACAGGAATTGTCTCTATGAAGGGGACGATGTCCACAGAAACCAGTCACATCACTGGTTCTTTTATGGCAGGTTGCAACAATGAGACTTGAAATGATTAACTATTTTTCATGTTGCATCCAAAGACATGCCAGTAAGGTAGAAACGTGGTTTATAGTCAGTGAGGGGAGGTTTCTGATGTCAGCGGTGATATCTTCCAGGGTTTCAGGGTCCATGTGTGTCTAAACTCACTTTACTCTGAACTGTCACAGACACTGCCTAGAAGACACAAATCTGTCCAGGATGTCCTCCTGTCTTATATACAAATACACAGCAGCCTTGAGGACAGGGTCAGAGTGGCATCCTGGTAGAACGTAGAGCACAAACCCGATGGACTTAAAACAGAGGATCCAGGTGTGCTTCAGCCTGCATTTTCAGGTCTTCTGCCTTTAATCCACTTCTGATGCTGGTTGGGGACCAAGTTGTTTATACTGATGAAAACTGGTTTGTATTGATTCTGTATTTCTGCTGTTGTTTTTTATGAAGCACATGTACCACAGTGGTTTTGTATTACCTCTATAAACGTCACCTGTTCAAAGCATGCGTGGGGTTTTCCTCTTTTCCCATCAGCTGAGTCCCATGATGTCCCCACCGCCCTCGTACAAGAACAGACACTTAGAAAAGACAAAGTCTAACTTGTGAAATTGGAATAACAGATATGGGTGAACATGCATAGGTTAACCTAGGTTTGTGCCAAAGAAAAATGAAACTCAAGTCTACGTAAAGATGAAAAAAGAGATCCAACAGTACTCAGGGTAAAAGAACAATTGTGAAGTATAACTTCTGTACTCTGACTCACTGACGGCTGTTCTGAGAGGAAGGATCACAGCAAAAGCATTGTATAAGAAAAAGGCACGTATCAGCAAGGTTGAGAAATTCTGGTGTAAAGGGTTAATTTACATCTAATTAATGACCCATAAGACATGAGATTCCATAATAAATATGGAATCAAACTTGTGGACCTTTGGGTTACTTTAACCTGAAGATTTGAACTTTTTATTGCAGGGATTATGTAACACTTTGTGTTAACTGAGAGACAAGAGAAGAGTCACTTTTAAAACGTTTAAGAAGATTTATTTCTAAACAATTTTAAACAAGACTAACTAAGTGATGAATGGATCTGGTGTGAATGAGACGTGAGATGAATGGTGTATGTGTGAGTGATGTCATCAGAACTCTCGTATCTGGAGAAGCGAGACTGAATGATGTTGTGATGTTTTGCTCTTAAGCTATGATCGGAGTTTCATAAACACATGAGACGCCATGTTGTCGCTCCACACATACCCTTCAGGATGAGACCTCCATACAGATCCAGAATGCCAGGTCCTTGGATCCCCCTTCGGTACCAGAGCCGATGAAACAGCGTCAGCAGTACGACAGACTAGTCTTTGGATTGTCTCCAGGTAAAAAGTGACAGATGGTTGACAGCGTCAGTGAGTTCAGCTTTTATTCTGAAAGGAACCATTGCTTGGTTGGTAAAATGCAACAGATTTTATCCAGCTTGTTGGTTCTTTGCTTAAAAAGGAAGTCCGGGTGGCCGGTCCGATACTTCTCTTAGAATGCGCTGAACTGCAGTGAGCTCCAGAGAACTCTTCAGAACTGAACTAAGATGGCGTGGGGACTGGTTTTATTAATCTGGATGTTTTGATTTCTGGTCGAATCAAAGTTGGCAGATTTTTTTTTTTTTTACCGTGTCCTGTCTGGCTGTGAAGCAAGCAGAATTGATGTCTGAATGCTGGTAACAAGCCTTACAGATTTACTCTCAGGTGGAGCATTAAAGCGTCTGCTTTTAATGTCACGCCTGATACTTAAAACTTTATTGTTATTGTTTTTGAATGCTTTGTAATTCCGACCAGACACGGAAACAGAGGTGAAAGAGAAAGGAAAAGAAAAGGTGGGGGAGGGGGGGGGGGGGGGGGGGTCCACAGAAATAAACAATAATGAACAAGAGTCTGTTTCCAGACCTGCAGAAAAAGACAAAAAAAAAGCAAAAGGGCAAAAAAATGGGACACAACAACAATACAACTAGATCAAGCTATCACTGCGTCAACTTGATGAAGACATATATAATCAACATTGCTTAACTGAAGAATCATGATAATAAATCACAGTGCATTAAGTGCCCACCATAGTCTTAAGACCTGTGTTTAACGTGCCCAAGCCCATACTTTTGAGAGCACCATGTGAGCACCTGTGTGTGTACACGCGCTTGTTTACGTAAGGTTTGTCTATAGGAGCGTCCAACAGAGAGTGTGAGGGACCACAGATCCGCCCCCCAAAGATGCGCAGGAGACGGGGGAGCTCCAAGTCTCAGAGATCCAGGCGCTGCCCCAGAACACAGGAACCCCAAGGAGACTGCAACCAGAAAGGCCCCCGCCCCCTCGAGAGGCACAGAGGATCGCCCCGGGGGGCCACAACCAGCAGCCGGCAGAGTCCCGGGAGACATCATCTGCAAGCCCTCAGGCCCGCCCGCAGCCTCCCACCCCCTAGCCGGCCGAGCCCGGGACCCAGCGACCCGGTACCCAGGGGCGACCACCCCCGCCGGGACCCAGCAGAGCCCAGGGACCCAGACCCCACCAGGCAGCCACCGGGATCTATCAGGCAGATGCCAAAATCTTAAACCCCCAGACCCGGTTACCACGAACACTCAGGCAGACCAAGACACAACCCCTCACACCAGGTGTGGCAGGGGGAGGGGGGACGAAGATCTATATCATCAAAAGAAGTTCCAGGAGAGGGGAGGAGTCAAAGGCCCCACCTGACATATACAGTCATACACAAACACAGTCACACACTCCCTCCCTCATACTCACACATACACATACAACCAAAGACTTACAAAAATGCACGCCGGACACCCACTCATGCTCCCCATACACACCCTATTCACTCTGGTCCCGGTACTGCTGCACATTGGGTACAACCATTACCGGTAACCAGAGTTTGACCCTTTCTGCTGGGGTACTGATGAGCAACCAACGCTGAGCACAGCAATCTACCACCCCAGACCCCAACTAGATGGCCAGATCTCCCTCCTAGCCTCCAGCCCCAGGAAGCCAAGCAACAACAGAGGTGGCTAAGACCCCTAGTCTCCCTCCGCCTGCTCCAATTTAGTGTTGTGTGATCATGAGGTGTATTCCATGGCTGTGGTGAGCGGGCAGTGCGGGCATCATCCGGCCAATGCCAGCTGATGCCACCGCACCACCCCACTTACACCCTCAGCCCTCTGTGTCTTAAGTGCGGTTTAAAATTGGAAGTGGGCACTGGCACCCGGGAGGAGGCTGAGATATCCCCCTGCCAAATGCCGTTGAATGTGCTCACTCCCAAGGCCCTAAGTGTGTGTTTGTGTGGAATGTCGTCAGTGGAAGTGTATAAGGTGCAAATAAAATTGGGGGGCAGGTTGCCACAGGAATGCGGAAATGGGGTCCATACCCGCAGTCCCTGACTTGCCCACCCCCCAAGGTCCTATGTGTATGTTTGTGTGATGATGTGAGGGAGCAGGAGGAGAGAAACATGCGGGGATGGGGAGGAATGGCTGGTTGAGCTTAGCCCTCCAGGGAGCCAGCTCCCCTACTGACCCCAATAGGCACCTCCGTTGTCAAACTGGCACCCAGGGCATGGAGACCCCAGCCCATCCTGCCAGGTCCCAAAGCAGCAGCATTACAGCGCCTCACGGAGTCCGAGGGCACCAACCCAGCCCCACCCCAGCAGAATATCTTTGCCCATCCCTGCATTTGCACAACTTCCAGAATATATAAGACATGGGACATCCAGGTATGGTTGGGTCCTCCCCCTCCTGGACCTCCCCCTCCCCTGTGATGGAACGGCAGAAGAGCCAAGTTCTACCTGAGGCCCCCGAACCCGGGCCAGGCACTGCTGCATGTTCCTGCCTTCTTCCCGGCAGCATACATGTCAGGACCCGACCCCCAAGGCCCCGCCCAGATCCCCACCCGGGGCCGGCCACCCCCAAACCCGAGCCCCCAGGCCCCCACCCACTCACAACCGCCAGCAGTCCACCCCCCGAGGCAACCCAAGCACCTCCAGAGGGGGGCAACGGCCCCCCAGTCCCAGACACCCCCAGTGAACCCACCTCCAGGGAGCATCCGGATACAACAAACTCAGACCCTCCACCCCCCCCCCCCCCCCACCCACCCCCCCACACCCACACCATCCCGCGGGACAACATCAACGGCCCCCCACCCTCGCTATGTGATGGAACCGATCAAAGGAGCCCAGAGAGATTGATCTGAAGTGGAAGCAGAGGCTATATCAAGTGTAATATGATCTAACAAAAGATTTCTATACTGGTTAATGCGGAGAGTTTCTCTATTTTTCCAAGTCAAGAGGATAGTTTTCTTAGCGATGCATATGGCAGTCAGAACCACGTGAACCAAAGATGTTTCAATTGGGACATCGTCCAGGTTTCCCAGTAAACAAAGAGAGGGGGTGGTTGGGATATGATATTTCAGAGACTTTGACAGGTCTTCACACACTCTACCCCAAAATTCCTGGACAGGTGGACAGGACCACAGTGCATGAATGTAATTGTCGGGAACGTTGTTTGTGCAGTGTGTACAGGTGTCAGATTACACAAACCCCATCTTGAACATCCAATGACCTGTATAGTGAACTCTGTGTAGAATTTTGTACTGAATTAATTGTAAATTGAGTGTCTGATCATTTTAAAAGTTTTTAAACAAGTTTGGGACCAGAAGTTCTGGTCAAAGCTGACTGATAGATCCACCTCCCATTTTTCTATAGGGATTACTATTCTATTGTCTATTTTGGACAGTGTCTTATATACTTTAGACAGTAGTTTGGGGGGTTTGAGATTATAGAAGTCTAATACCCTTGGTGGTGTTTGCAATTCTATTTTATTGAGCTTAAATTTTTGTTTTACTACAGATTTAATTTGGTGGTATTCTAAAAAGCTATTCTTATCTATTCCAAATTGGGAGACTATTCTATTAAATGGGATGAAGTCCAATCCTTCATATATGTGTTCCAGGTATAGGATTCCTTTGTTTTTCCAGTCCGGAAGGTTCATCATTTTATTATTTCGCAAAATATCAGGATTATTCCAGATAGGTGTGCGTCTGCATGGTACTAGTGAAGACTCTGTAATTTTAAGATACTCCCACCATGCTGTCAGAGAGGTGCTGATACTAATACTTCTGAAGCCTTCATGTTTCCTTATGCTTGAGCTAATAAATGGTAAGTCTGAAAGCTCTATTGTATTGCAACGTGTCTGTTCTATGTCTAACCAGGACTCATCTAGTGGGTTATCTTGCAACCATCTTGGTATATATTGCAGCCTGTTGGCTAAGAAATAATAAAAGTTGGGTAAATCCAGTCCTCCTCTGTCTTTGGTCTTCTGAAGTGTTTTTAAGCTAATTCGTGGAGGTTTATCCTGCCAAAGGAATTTGGTAATTGAGGATTCCAGAGATTTAAACCAGTCAACTGGTGGTTTGTTTGGGATCATTGAAAATAAGTAATTTATTCTGGGTAAGACCATCATTTTAATAGTAGCAACTCTCCCCATG